CATGGTTCAACATTCGGATCTAAATTACTAACTGATTTCAGTTCCTTTGTAGACTTATTATAAACTGTTACATAAGATTCTGGTATTTCTCCTTCTGAGTTTGTATTGAAAATAGCAGCAACTTCATTGTAACTTTGATAATTATATCTTTTTTTATCAAAACCTTTTTTCAACGTGAACAATAGTTGTAACTCTGGAACATCTTCATTATTTTGTCTTGCTAATTCAGTTTCTATTTTAATTACTTCTGACATCATTATGTAAGATTTTGTGTATGCGTTTGAAGTTCTCATAATATTTTCTATATTTTGTAAAAGTTCTTTGTCCAAATTTTCGTTACTTTTTAATCTGTATCTGATTGATTCGTCAGGGTCATAAATAAATAATTGACCAAAACATGGATCCTCACCTTTATCCGGATATAAAGCACTATTAATTTGATAGTAAATTTGACCTTGAATTTTATAACAAAATGGCCCTCTTCTTCTGTTATTAAAATTAATTACATTAGCATTTAAAGATGCAAAAGAAAAAGAATTATTGTAGAGCCTTATATTCTTTTTAAAATGACCAGATTTTTCATGAAGCCCTTTTAGCAAAAGCTTTAATTCATCTGGATATTGTATGGAAGTTAAAACAACACCTCCATGACTACAACAATCATTAAAACTAACTTTTCTACCAGCAACTTGTTCATCTTTAAAATGTTTAGCTTGACAATGTGTGCAATAATAATTCATTGGACCTAGATAATTTTCAACATTATTTGACTTAAATGTTTCATTATCATCTAAATCTATATTTAATATTTTCTTTGGAACAGAAATATTCAAATTTGAATTTATACTATTATTTACCAGTTTCAACTCATTTTGAATTTGATGATTTAATACTCTTTCACAATAATTTCTTAAACATAGAGTATTTTTTGTTTTTGACAAAGTACTTCTATCACTGTTTATATTTTTTAATTTAAGGTTTTGAGCATATTCTATTTTAGATTCAACTTGAAGTTTTTTCTTAGTTGAAGTGTGCACTTCACCTGAATAATTTACATTATCACTTTTACATTTCAGTTTTTGCCTTTCGCGATAATTTCTTTGAATTTCAGCCTTACTTTGTTTAGGTGTTGTTGATGATTCAACATTTCCTTCATTTATTTTATTTATTGCTCTCGGAAAAGAAAGGGAAGTGTTTGCTTCCTCTGAATAATTTGGATTATCAACTTTACGCTTCAACTTTTGCCTTTCGCGATAATTTCTTTGAATTTCAGCCTTACTCTGTTTAAGTGTTGTTGATGATTCAACATTTCCTTCATTTATTTTATTTATTGCTCTCGGAAAAGAAAGGGAAGTGTTTGCTTCCTCTGAATAATTTGGATTATCAACTTTACGCTTCAATTTTTGCCTTTCCCGATAATTTCTTTGAATTTCAGCCCTACTTTGTTTAACTGTTGTTGATGCAATACTCCCTTTATTTATTTTATTTATTATTCTCGGGAAAGAAATTTCTTTCTTCATAGAGTTTTAAAAAAGTTTGATTCTCCATACTTAAGTTGAATATCTTTTTCATTTAAAAGGCAATTCCAGTCATTCACAACTATGCAAGATCTACTATTAGAAAGTTGTTCAGAGGGAAATTCACTTAAACTATTGTTTTTGAACATTAACATTAAATGATTTCTCATATTACAATAATAGTAATTGACAGAATCAGGCATAATATTAAAAAATAACGATGTTGCGAATGCTATTGCATATATTCCACAAGCAAGACTGTTTAATGGTTGTTGATCAACAGTTGTGAAAACTACTGGTGGTTCAAAAGGATATAATCTAATTAAGTAAGCCCTTTGATCGTCATTTAAATATTTTTTATTAAGACTATCAAAAATGTAAAGGCTTTTTCCATCATAATAAGTACAAATCCAATGACCAGACTTATAATATCCACTAAAAAGTATTTGAATGTGCTGCTTATTTTTCTCGATTGGAACTATCAAATCAAGTGTTTGTAAACACAAAGTATTTTGCATATTATAAAAAAAATTTGATTGTCTTCCCAATAGCTTTTGAAATTCATACATATGATCATTATTTAGCATTGCTCCTTCAGTGACAACAATACTTAAATCATCAGTAGTCAAATTAACAGTTTCTCCTTTGTTAGACATTGTTCTTTTATTTTATAAAATTTACTTATATCAAGGAATTAAAAATTTAAAAATAGCAATATTACAGTAGAATTTTAAGATCAAGTTTTATACATTTAATTATAAATATTATAATTTCCTTTTATTCAATGATATTACCAAATTTTGCCTCCTATAGAAAATACAAACAAATTTCCAATTTTGTCTCTTATCCAATATATAACCAATTTACTATTTTTCCTTTAATCCAATTTAACCAATTTCTAGCTTTCTTTTTATCCAATATAATTAATTTCCAATTTTGCTTTTTATCCAATATAACCAATTTTGCCTTTTATCCAATATAACCAATTTACTATTTTTCCTTTAATCCAATTTAACCAATTTCCAGCATTCTTTTTATCCAATATAATTCATTTCCAATTTTGCTTTTTATCCAATATAACCAATTTTGCCTTTTATCCAATATAACCAATTTCTAATTTTTTATTTTATCCAATATTCCTGTTATACAATTCAACCAATTTCCAGCTTTTTATCCAATATAACCAATTTTGCCTTTTATCCAATAAAACCAATTTAACCAATTTCCAGCTTTTTATCCAATATAACCAATTTTGCCTTTTATCCAATATAACCAATATTTATCCAATATAACCAATTTTGCCTTTTATCCAATATAACCAATTTTGTCTTTTATCCAATAAAACCAATATAACCAATTTTGCCTTTTATCCAATAAAACCAATGTAACCAATTTTGCCTTTTATCCAATATAACCAATGTAACCAATTTTGCCTTTTATCCAATATAACCAATTTTGTCTTTTATCCAATAAAACCAATATAACCAATTTTGCCTTTTATCCAATAAAACCAATTTAACCAATTTCCAGCTTTTTATCCAATATAACCAATTTTGCCTTTTATCCAATATAACCAATATTTATCCAATATAACCAATTTTGCCTTTTATCCAATATAACCAATTTTGTCTTTTATCCAATAAAACCAATATAACCAATTTTGCCTTTTATCCAATAAAACCAATGTAACCAATTTTGCCTTTTATCCAATATAACCAATTTAACCAATTTTGCCTTTTATCCAATATAACCAACTTCTAATTTTGCCTTTGGATTCCAATTACATACGATTTCCAAATTATAACAAATTTTTTAATTTATTAATAAACATAAAAAAAAATTTTTTAACTTTATTAATTAACTTCGAAAACTAAACACAACTCAAATACATAATTATTTAAATGATTGAAAAAAATTAGAAAAAAGTATTTCAATGTATTTCTATTATTATTTAATATTCACTTATTTAATTATATTCACTAATACTTACTATTCACTAAATCACTATTTACTAATTCACGAAGTATTCACTGATAATTCACTTATTTAACTTTTTTATTCACTCACCTATAGTGAGTGAATTCCCAAAAAAATTGTTATACTTCAATTTCGTTGAAGACACGTAGAACGTGCTCCAAGGAAAATAATCGACGATATGATTTTTAAATTAAATTTTCGTTCTTATATTTAGGTGGTAGGCCCTAAACGTGAGTGTCCTCTTCGCACTCATAGATATATATATACTATATATATATATATATATATATATATATATATATATATATATAGGCCTGTATTCGACCCTAAGAAGGATTACGAACCCTTAAACAATAGCCTTTGTAATGGGGATTACCTCGGAGAACCCAGGTAATATTTTCTTTCTTCCTTCATCGCAAGGGAAATATAAAGAAAAGACTATTATATGTATATATATATAATATATATAGTAACAGAAACTCCAAAGGTAACGGTCTCGATAACGTCTGGATAACGGCGCCGATAACGCTTTCTCTGGTAACGGCTACCTTTCTTTCTTTCTCTAAAGGCAATGTCAATAAGAATGTCTCTCTTTACCTAATTTGCATATCTGCTGATTTCATATAAGGATATTGTTGACAATAAACAAGGATCGAAAAAAAAAATTTTCGTTTCATTCAGTTATGTTCTTATTAAACAGAACAAAAGTCGTATAAAAAAGAAAGGTGCAATAAAAAAAACTATTACATTATTTTTGTTAATATAGTATTTCATTTAAAAAAATCATTAGCTCAAAAAGCTTTTAATCTTATTATTTGAAAACAATAATAATCTATTCAATTTGAAACTATATGTTAAATTTATTATTATATTCAATGAGAAAAAGTTTTTTTTAGTTTAAAATAAGATTTAATTTAGTTTATAAAATTGGTAAGCTTAAAAAAAAATTGTTTAAATGAATCATGTTTAATTTAAAGAAAACTTTATTCTAAAAAAATTGAATTGATTAAGCATTTGACATTTAATGTTTTTTAATTTTTTCAAAGTAATAACAATTTTGTAAGTTTAGTGTAAATGTAATATGTTTAGTCATTTATCTTTTGATTTATTGGAACCGAAAGTTCATTTAAATTTTGAGTTTCTTTTAAAAACGAAATTGAATGTGATAGTTTTGTTACCGTCTTAAATACAAAATTCATAAATGATTTAAATTTGGATTTCATATGATTAAACAAAACCAAAAGAAAATTGAATTTAAATTTTGTTCCGTTCTAGTGATGGTCCCTTATAATAAATCAATAACTATTTATTAAAAAAAAGGAAATTATCTTAATTAAAAAAAAAATGTTTTCTTTGGTCTAAATCTACAATTGATAAAACAAAATTTACAATAAGTTACAATAACAAGTTATTATTAATCAACTAAATTATTTAATATTCCCGAAATTGAAAGAAATGATTCTTGTCCTGGCATGCATCAGTAATTGAGATAAGCTCTACTATGATATGTCATATGATCCACCATGCTTAATCAGCAAGGTTGATTTCAAGGACACAGCTGGTATGAAGAAATGTTTGGTAATTCTAAGTTTCACCTTAGACAAAAGGTGATGTCGGTTGCGAAAACTCCTTCTTTAAAAAAAAGAGAAATTATTTTTTAAAAAAAGGGAAATACTAAAGCAATATTGTTTCCCGCAAGTTCTCTGTTGATTAGACAAAATTAATTAGAAGAGATATTTTTACCCACATGTCATTTATAAGTATCACAAATACAATAGTAAGGATGACCAACTCTATTCACTGCTATCAAAAAAAAAAAATTATTTTTATATGCAAGAATATTTATTACAGAAAAATCTATCTTTCAGAAAAATGAAAGGTTCTACTTATTATTACTAATTAATTTAAATTTTGATATTTCTGATATTGGAAGTTCTCATAATTACTCAGAATGACTTTGGCATAACTTTTCTGTAAAAAAAAGTTTTATTCTATCACTATATATTCGAGCTTTATTATAACCTCAAAATTTTAAAAGGAACAAAACAAATTCAAGCATTTATCTTCACACACACACACATATATATATCATATTGCAATAGCTATACTGTGAAAGTGTCTTTTAGGTAATTTCAGTTAATTTATTTAAATTACAATATCACAGTAAAAGAAAACTTATTTTTAGTCCTTGATTAATTTCAAGTCATAAATTTTCCTGAATTTAAAGAGAAAATCATGCTGATTATCAGAACATTGATTATCTTCAATTTAAGGAAATCATATAGAATGTGAGAAAACTAAACGATACAACTATTAAATTCAGTGAATAATTTAAAAATAAAGTAATGAGAATTGTAAATTTAGATTGCCTATCCTTATTTTCACGTAAGCCCAGCTTAAATTAAGATTGATTTTTTTCAAAATATGTTTCATTTCAGATAATTCTCAAAATAGGATTTACTTTTACTGTGATCGTATTACTTGAATAATTATAGTTCTATTACTTGTCTTAGATTTGAAGCGTAATCTTCTATTCATAATAATAAATAATTAGGATTTAAATATTAAATTAAAAAAAAAATCGTTACGATATATATATTATAGTTAAATGTATTAAGTCTTCAAGAAGCAAGATATTTAGTTTTAATTAATAATATTAATATTACTTATTTTTAATTAATTTTTAAAGTTAATTTTGTAAATAAAGATACTGCCAGTTGCATCAATAGTTATCTAATTACTTTGTTATTGAAACAATTAAATACTATAATGCATTGTAATATCATTATATTTTTGTTATTTGATAAATAATTCTAAATGGTATAATATATTATCATAATGTAATAAAATAGTTTAAATAATACTATAATATCTTAACAGAATTATACTAATATATACGAATTATACGAATACCTACAGGAGAAATCCAATAAGTTTTTTTAAGATTATAATAACCATAAAAAATATGTATTTGTTTTGTTTTTGCTTGGTTAAGTTTAGTCAATAACCATTCACGATGAATAAGACTATTAGTATTACTTCTTTTAACGTAATTAAAAATTACCATTATAAAAAAAATGTTAAAAAAAAAGTTTAAAAACAAGATTAATTAAAAAAAAATCTTAAATCAATTAGGTAAAATTAACATATTCAGATAGGTAGCATAAAATCTATTGCCATAACCTGAGAAAAAATGTCTTTCTATAAAAATAGCCAGTAGGAATGTGCTAAGTAAGTTAGTAACTAATTTTTGAAACTGATGGATAAGCTTAAATCACAAATATAGATTAAACTAGGTTTATCTTTAAAATATGTTAATTAGTAAATTGTAAACATATTAGTATTCAATTTATGTATATACTTATGTAGTAGTTTCTCCTTTTCACTTTTTCAGTTAAACGTAACAGATCGTTTTTTTATTTTTTGTGCTTTTCTTGTATTAGGTTATGTGTGCATTATTCATATTATCACTAATATATTGTGTATGATTATTTTAGTTTCATCATTTTGTTTTTTTAAGTTACTTCTAAAGATTATGAGTAATATAACTAAGTTAAACCTTTAGATGTTAAAATTCACTTTTGAGGTTATAATATCCAGATTACTCTTTCGTTATATGGTATAAAATAGCTCGAATATTATAGTAAAAAAAAAAGTCTTGAAACATAATCATGAAGAACAATTGTAATGTGACTGACATATATTTGAATACATCATATAAGAGTAATTCAAAAAGGGTTGATTTCTAAAAAAAAAACTTTCATCAGAACAAACTTCAAGCCAAAACAAGTGGTTTAGATCGTTGAATTGAAAATTTGGTATACACGTATAACTGTAACCAAAAGCTATTTTTAAGTTTTCAGCTATTGTTTAACTAGTCTACAAAAGAAGAATTTTTCGCAATCGGCAAAATTTCAAAGTATCGTATGATCATATAATTTTCTTGTGTTATATAGGTATTGAAATCCAGTTACTTTGTCAAAATTAGACAAATCATTCTTTCTTCAGAAGTAAAGAAAAAAATAACCCTAACCAACCTGTCACCAATTATCTAAAATTCCATCAACAATGGCTATAATCAAGGAATAAAAAAGGGACTTCACCTTACAATCCAATCACTTCGGATTTTGGAAAAATCTCACTCTTATGGAATCATCTTTCTTTCGACTCTTTAAAATTCAACAATTAAAAAAAAATTTTACAACTGTACCATCGAAAAACAACGATCTAAGTTAAACAAAAATTGTTTTGTTTTAAAATCAGCCTATTGTTATTTAAAATTTATGGCATTTTAAAATTACAAATTAAGTTTTGTTTAAATCAAATCATTATTTATAATTAAAAAAAAAAGTTATATTAACATAAATTAAACATAAAACAAGACACCTTTTGATTAATAGTACGGATTAAGAATTGGTACACTACAAAAAGAAGTGTCTTAATTTAAAATGTTTTCGTAGTCATTTCTAAAATGTTTTGGTAGTCACTTTTAGTTACTTGAGGTGTCTTAACTTAAGATGTTAAAAGTATCTTCGTACATATTTTCAGCATATTTTTTGGAAAAAAGTTTGGAGGTTAACTATGGGCTTATATGTAAAACATTTCATGCATCTTAGTATTTAGTAACTTAAATTATTTTTCGCATTTTACGATACATAAGTGACTTTATCACTAAACATCTTATTGCGCCAAAAACATCTTGATTTTGGACACTTTAAATAACTTACAGAAGTGTCTTACTTTTTGAGATAGAAAAAATATCTAAGACGTATAAGGCATCTTAAAAATCAGTAAGATGCTTTCGAAAGCATCTTATTTTAAGATATCAAATGGGACACTGGTTCTTGCAGTGTACTAAAACAATGTAAGGAACCTATAATTGTTTGTTTTTTTCATTTAATTCAATAGACAAACGATAAATGCTTTTGATTAAATGTTAGTATACTCATAGTTGTTAGAAAATTAAAAAAAAATTATTAAAATATGTAAGTTATAACGAATCTTCTTAATGTCAACATGATCCGTTAAGATAAACATTACGTCCGAAATCAAAAACTTAGATTTCAAATAACTAATTATTAGATTTTCAAAGTTATTATAGCAAGCAATAAAAGGAACTTTATGTTCATTAACTTTAAATTGTTATCTCTTTAATTAAAAATATGAATCTAATAATTGACTACATTTTAATGTTAAAGTTAAAGGTTATACGTACAATACATTATATCATACAAATGTATGAAAAGAAATAATATTGAAAATTCAAAAGTAAAGAAAATGGAAGTTGCTAAAAAAAATTATTTTTTAAAAGTTGAAATGATTCACATTGATCTTTGAAATGTATAAAGTTTAAGATTAAAGATTTTGATATGCAAGCGTTCATTTAAAGCCATGTTTGAGCTTTCAATGGCAGCTACAGTTTAATCAACAAAATTATAATTTCAAGAATAGTCTAATTTGTCTTTGTCTTATCTATTAAAGGGTATAACTCTTTTTTTTTAATTCTTCGTATATCAATCAAATTCTTCATCAATCGAAGCAAATATCTATGTTCTCCGCATATGTCCATTTAACAAAATCTAATTTATACGATACAATTGAATCAAGAAAATTTCAACTTCTAGGAGAGAGTATTTTGTGTGTCATCTAAACAATTGAAGAGTAAAATTGAAAGAAAAATTTAAAAAAAATAATATTCTGTACTATTAATACATTTAACCGAAATATCATCGTTATATGAAATATGCGAGTGAATCGAGTGCAAAATTGAGAACTTTCAAAATAGCAAAACTTAATCCTACCGACTTGACGTGCAAGACTATAGTTGAGAAGTAAATTAAATAAAAAAAAAATTTTTCTTTGATCTATGACAAACATGTCGAAACTTATGTTTACTAAATTGATATATATAAAATATACGTTTATAAAAACATCAAATATATGTTTTACGTGGTTTCTGTCTTATCTTTTGAGCAAAAAGTTCTCGGGGACGAAAACAGAAAATTTCCATGGTGGATTGTTACGTACAAGGTACTTAACAGGTACTATTTTATTATTATTTTTCTTTTTAATAAAGCTACAAAAGATAGGACAGAATTTATAAAACATAAATTCCTATATATTTTATAATATTGTTTATAAATTGTATGCATAAATTTATAAACATTATTAATACTTAAAATTTTATATAATAAAAGAAACCTCTATTTGAAAATAATTAAAGGTAATGCATTTCACACATATGCATTGAGACGACCTAGGTGTATACGTGCACATCCACTGATTCCGCTGGCTACAAGATCTAACACGACCACACCCTTGAGTTCTTCGCGTTACGGGCACACACACAATCATGCTACACATGCCTCTGCTCATTGCCTTGTCTCTCCTATTGTCTCTCCTTCCTTTTTCCCCTTTGGGCCTACAAACTTAGGGACTAGAATATCATAACAAATGCACATTCATTTGGAGGCTGACTCAACGCTTTATGAAGCGTATATATTTTATTCGTTTTATGCACTATTCCAAATTTACAGAAAATAATTTGATAATAGCTAAACATTTTATTGTAACTTATTGTTAACAATAAAATGCCGGAGGACTGTAAGTTGCATGTATATGTGTATATGTATAATTATGAATGCAAAATACATATACTAGTAACTTATAAAATGTAGGACCAATATAACGTTATTTATACAACTTATATTAAACACTTATAACTATAAATAAATTGTAATTATAAATAAACAATTCTTTCTTTACAATATAATTATAATTTATATATTTAGTTATAAAAATTGTTTCTGATAAGTATCAAATTAACAACGCCGTTTCCGTTCTCACGAAAACTGCATGCAATCAGAAACGTCAGCATAGTGCAAAGTCCAATGGGCCTGAAGAATTTCCCTACTTCTAATTCTAAAAATCCTTAGTTGACAAATTTACCCCACTTTGACATCAGGACAAGGAGTAGAGGCTTGTCGCAAAATTTCTATCGCCGCTGTACAATTTTCCTCTTCAAGCGATCAACACCTGTCCCGGCTACTGCCTGGCAGATCTGTTAATCGCAAGAAAGTAGGAAATGCCGATACTAAGCCCGTCTGCGCGTCGGACCCCCGTATAGAACTCAGCGAAAAAACTAGTATAATACGAAAGGCGGACGAAAAAATAAAATAGAATCTTCTAACCGACGGAGTCCAGTGCGAGCTGTGTTGAGTGAGGTTTCAGTTAATTAAATATTAAACAATTTGAAAATCTTGTTTTTAACCGGCCAGTCCGTACGTGTAGTACCTGCGCCGTCTCAATTCAGTGGTTCCACAAAACTAAAGAAGACTCTCTTCTTTACAAAATTCGCGAGTTCTTGAAAAAGAAAATTAGTCGCATAGACGACTAAATTTTCAACTTTCTCAACTGTGTTTTGCCCGACGGAGGATCCCTGTTCCTCAACCGGCCAGTCCGCGCGCGTAGCGCCTGCGCCGCGTCTAAAAGGAATTATGCTCTGTCGGTAGGATTAAGAAAATATACGTAAGTAATTCTGTATTGTTCCAATGTCTAATCTTTATACAAATTTTATATCCTCCAACACAAACATTAGCAAGTTTTGTTAACTCCTTGCATTCTGTTCTGAAATAATGTTTAAATAAATGTTGCCATTTAAAATACTAAATCTGATTTACTTTCTTTAAAACTCCTGAACTAATTAAAGACAAAAGAATTAAATTTATAAATCAAACGAAGCATCGCAGGTTTCTTTTAAAAGTAGGATAACGTTCCCGCAAATTAAACAAGGTCCTTCAGACCTTGGCAGCTTGGTGCCTCCCCAAATTAGAATGTAGAGCCATCTCAAAAGCTCAATTTTTAAACAATAAATAAATTCTGGTTTTTAACACGAAGCCTAAATAAACAATTTTTAAAAAATTGTTTATGTTAATTTGATGACCAAAATTAAAGAAAATGAATTAAAAACTAATTACTGTAATTTTAAAAACTCGAGTGAATATTTTTATTTAAATACGTTAACTTTTAAAAAATTTGGTCGCCATAATGGATCCACAATTTAGAATTTTAAAAAAAACTCGTTTTAAACAAACGAAAAGCTAGCAAATACTTGATCAAGCTTTTAGCCTTTTACAAATCTAATAAATTTATAGAAATTTCCCTAAATTTGAACAAAATTTTTTGACATTACTTTAGTTTTCTCTAATTAAAAAAAGTTCTTAAACTTCTGTGACCTGTAAATGAAACCAGCGATTTAAGGGGTAATATCACTCAGAGCACATAAAAATATACTGAATATCAATTAATTAAATTAATTGATAATTAATATGGGAGAAGTTTTAAAAAAGAAATTTTTTATTTTTATTAAATTAAGTTTGATATGTGTTTAACGTTAAATAAAATCAAGCTTCATGATAATAAAATGTATTTTTCTTAAAATAATTGATTAAAAAAAATACTATATTTTTAGTTAGCTCTGGGTTATGTTATTCCTTAATGTTGCGCAAAAAATCTAACAACTTTAAAAGTTTATAATTTATTATTTTTACGTAATTTTTTAAAATTATAGAAGACTTTTATTATACAATTGAATTATCATATTTGTAAAATCGAAAGAAACAAAAAACTCATATTATTATGCTAAATTTGTATTATAATTTTATTTAAATTTATAAAATCAAAATTTATTTTATTTATAAACGGTTTTTGTATTTATATTTTATATTTATATTATAAAATGGGTTTGTGTAAAAGAAAAAGTTTTGATCACCGTAAAAAAATGAGAAAAGATATTATGAGAAAAATGAGAGAAAATTGTCAAGAAAATCTTTCTTTGAATGTTTTGACCAGAGATAAAACTCATTCTAAATTATTAAAATTATTAAAGAATAAAAAACATAAAAAATTATTAAGAAATGATGTCACTTATCGAAAAAATAAAACAATTAAAAATATGCATCGTAATAAAATATTGCGATCTAATGTCGTGTATCGTAATACAGAAGCAATTAAAAATAGAGAGCGTAATAATATTTTGCGTATTAACGAGGCATACATTCAGAAAGAGTCAATTGGAAATATTAGACGTAATAAAATTTTACGTTTAGAAGAGGCGTACAGTCGGAAAGAATCGGTTGAAAATATTAAGCGTAAAAAAATTTTACGTCTAAAAGAGGCGTATCGTGGAAAAGAATCGGTTGATAATATTAAGCGTAATAAAATTTTACGTTTAAAAGAGGCGTATCGTGAGAAAGAATCGGTTGAAAATATTAAGCGTAATAAAATTTTACGTCTAAAAGAGGCGTATCGTGGAAAAGAATCGGTTGAAAATATTAAGCGTAATAAAATTTTACGTTTAAAAGAGGCGTATCGTGAGAAAGAATCGGTTATAAATATTAAGCGTAATAAAATTTTACGTTTAAAAGAGGCGTATCGTGGGAAAGAATCGGTTAAAAATATTAAGCGTATTAAAATTTTACGTTTAAAAGAGGCGTATCGTGGGAAAGAATCGGTTGAAAATATTAAGCGTATTAAAATTTTGCGTTTAAAAGAGGCGTAACGTGGAAAAGAATCGGTTGAAAATTTTAAGCGTAATAAAATTTTACATAATAATATAAGTTTTTCAACAACAGAAAAATTATTAAACATTAAACGAAATAAAGTATTAAGATCCAATGAAATATATAAAAATACAGAATTGATTAAAAACAATGATCGAATTAAAAGTTTACGGAATAATGAATTGTATTTAAAACGAGAAAATGCTTTAAATATAAAACGTAATAAAACTATGAGAGAAACCACATTTTATAAAAATAGAGAACTAAATAACATTAATAAAAGAAATAAAATTTTAAGGAGTAACCAAAATTATAAGACTAACGATTGTACAAAAAATACTATACGAATTAAAAAATTGAGATCTGATAATAATTATTCAGAAAGAGAAAAAATAAAAAATTAATTAAGAATAAAAAATTTAAGGAAAGATAGTTTTTTTCTAATTCAGAAAAAATAAAGAATTCCAATTATAAATAATTGAACAATGTATATTAGTAAATCAGTGAAAGAAAGGAAAAAGAAAAGGAAAAGGAAAAAAGATCAACGGTTAGATGAACTTCTTTATTTTCGAGAACGTTATATGACGAATATTAGAAACAATTTAAATTTAAATAGTAAAAATTATAATGAAAATAAATTGATCTATGACTTTATAATGGAAAGAAAGAATGGTCCAAATGATTAATGTGTTTTTTGTGATAATTTATTTTTCTCAAGATCATTAGTTTCATGGAAGAAGGAAAGTATTGAAAATCTTTTACTAGATAAATGCTCTAAAAATGACTTAGAAATTTTTTTTCATTAATTATAAATAACGATTCGAATTTAATTTGCAAAACTTGTAAAAATTATGTAACAAAATTCCAAGTTCCTAAAATGGCAGCTAATTGGAATCTTAAATATCATGACGTTCCAGAAATTGTAAGAAGTTTATCGCCGGTTGAAGAACGTTTAGTTTCACCAATTATACCATTCGGGCAAATAAAGGCATTATTACCATTTTCAATGAATTCTTAATTATCTTTAAAGGGTAGCGTTGTAAACATTAAAGTTGAAATTAATGAAATGATTAAAGTTTTGCCAAGAAACTTTAATGAATTATCAACTGTGCAAATAAAACTTAAGAGACATGAAGATTATAAATCTCATTATATGTTTGAGACAATAAAACCATCAAAAATATGCGAAGCTTTAGAACATTTAATTGGTTGTCCTTTATATTTAGAAAATGAAATAAAAATTGATGATAATTTTTTTAAATCATATGATAAATCATTTAAAAAAGAAATTAACTTCATTGTTTCTCCGCGAGATGAGAAATACGTTAACAAAAATAATAAATATAATAACAAAAATTGCAATGATAATGAGCAAAAAACGAATGAGTGTAATGAAACTAAAAATGAAATTGATAATGATTATACTTTGAATGATAAAACTGAAAATGAATTTAATAGTGAAAATAATTTTAATGATAATGATGAAGTTCTAATTATTGATAGAAATAAATTTATTAGTAATGATGTAATCAATATTGCTCCTGGTCAAGGGAAATCCCCTCTTCCATGGCATGTTATGAAACATATTCAAGAACTTTCATTTCCATCAATATATGGTGGTTTCCCTATGGATCCAGAAGAGAAATTAACTTATTCTGAACGCATAAAATCAGAATGTCGACGTACTGATCGTCGAGCGTGTAATCCTACAAACATATTATTCATGGCTGATAGAAAGATTGAATTGTCTGTAAATTCTAATCTTAATATTTGCCTAAGAAAACATAAATTAAAAAATGTTATAAATGCAAAACAAGCTAAAGACCAAGATTTTCTTAGCGATATAATTAAACACGATAAATTTAATAAATCTATTAGTGTTACTGATGCGCTTCATTTAGATTTAGATAATAAATCTAAATTAATTAGAGATGATCCCATAACATGCGTGCGGTATGTAGAAAACAAATTTAATGAAATACGAAAAATTTTAGAAAGTAAATATGGCCCATTTCGAGAAAATTTTGTAAATGATTATTTTGAAAGAAAAGAATTTCAATCTAGTGGATCTGTTCATACCCATAATCTTGTTTATTGTAATAATGCACCTATCTTTGAAAATAATAATAATGCTTCTCGCCTTGAATGTACGGAGTTCATTGATAAGTTCATAACATGTGAATATGATTCAAAGAATCCATTGGTATCATTTTAAAGACATTCTCATACACAAACTTGTTACAAAGGGTTTAAAAATTTGAAAAAATGTAGATTTGATTATCCCAAATTCGTAATGAAGGAAACTTGAATTCTTGATCCTTTAAATGAAAATGAAAAATAAAAAGATTAAAAAAAAAGAAATTGTAATTTAAAAAAGATTAGAGATTTATTGGAACTATATTTTGATAAAATAACTTATATATCATTTGAAGAAATATTAGTTATTTTAGAAATTTCAGAAACAGAATATATTGATGCTATTAAATCTTCCTTAAAAAGAACTAAAATTTTTCTAAAGCGACGAAGTGAAGAAGTTTCAATTAATGCATACAATTTAGAGCTTTTGAATTTAATGGAATCTAACATGGACATTCAATTTGTACTAGATCCATTTTCGTGTGCGTCATATATGATAAATTATGTGACAAAAATTGATGCAGGACTTTCAAAATTATTACGTGAAGCAGCAACGGATATTAAAAATGCTAATCTTGATTTAAAACAACAATTGAGAAAATTCGCAAATATATTTATTAACGGCCATGTGTTATCAAGTCAAGAAGCTTCGTATCATGTTTTGTCACTTCCATTATCAAAATTTAGTAGGTTTGAAACTTATATAAACACTGTACCTATTGACCAACGAGTGAGAATGTTAAAAAGAAAAAAGGATTTAGAGAATTTAGAAGATGATTCTACAGATGTATACTATTCAAATGTATTCGAGAATTATTCTAAAAGATGTGAAGCATTAAAAAATGTATGTTTGGCTGAATATGCAACATCTTTGATAAATCCCAAAAATTTTGATAATGAATTAAGTGATAATGATTTTTCCGAAGCAGATAATGTTAAGAAAATAAAAAAAGTAAAATTTTAAGGTACAGAAGATATAAATTAAGTCAAGATAAAAATAATTACTTTCGCGAACAGATTCTTTTATTTCTACCTTGGAAAAATGAAAAATTGAAAGTAGAAGATGTTAATGTAGAACAGGTTTATGATCAAAATCTTACATTAATTCAAACCAATCATCAAAAATTTCAAATTATCGGTGATGATGAAATTGAAAAAGCTTTAGCAGATGCAGAAGCAAACAAATGTTTTGATTCTAATAATGATGAGAATGACACTGAATCAGAAAATAATTTTAGCGTTGACATTTTTAATCAATTTAATCATGGAAAAGCTTTTGAGAATCCTTTTAAACAAGTTGTTCATTTCATGACCATTTAGCTTCCTCAACATATACAATATAAATTCGTGACGTAATTCACTTGCAAAATTTTAGCAAACTCCATCTAAACATATGTATAAAATTAAATTTATCGCATAGAATCGGGATAGAATCCAATCAAACATATAAAATATTTACTAAAGTTAATAATATATTCATTACTTCATTTTAGGTACAAATCGACATGAAAACCAAATTATGATTTTTCAAAAGCATAACAATCAAAGCATACATTCTTCTTAAGGAAATTTCTTTTTGATGCAGCAAGATATATTCATAAATTAAATGGAATTATATTGCGGTTTGCAAACTTTTGCAATTCGAAATGATTCGAATTTTCTGTTGTCGAGTCGATTAATGTTCAGTTCGACTCGATTAAATGCACACCTCTATTTCATATGCAAATTGCTTCTTTTTTATGATAGAATAATCATTTAAAAATATTAATATTAAATAAATTATGAAAAAAATACAAAATTTGAATTTTTTGTGAAAAAGAAAAATTTCTATTAATTTTATAAATTTTGATAAAAAATATACTTTGTATACATCAATCGATTCGTTTTCTTGTCAGGAATGTAATTTTGAGAATAACTAATTAAAATATTAACAAATAAAAAAATTATTTACAAAAATACAAAAAAATTTTTTTTTGAATTTTAAAAAAATTGTATAAAATTTTTTTTTAGATATTTTTGAAAATCCTTGTGTCAGATTTTAGGTATTAATGACTGCAATAAACCTGCAAAATTTCAAGACAATCCATCAAAATTTGTTTGAGATAATTTGTACACAATTTTTGTGACATACACACACACACACACACATACATCTGGACATTTGCTCAGAATTGAAGATACATATGTTATAGATGTAAATGAGTCCATATAACCTTCTTTTGAAAAATTGAAAATCGTCACGAATGCAAAGCTTCCTTATGAGGAAGCAAAATGAAAGTAATTTCAGTAAAAATAATAATAGAATAGCTATCCCATTAGTTAAAGATGCAGAAAACATAAATGAAATTATTAACCAATTGAATTTTAAGCAAATAATGATTACTACACACATATTACATTCTTTTAAAAATAATAAACTTCCCTTGCAAATTTTCATAAGTGGTTCAGCTGGAGTTGGTAAATCAAAATCTATTAATGCTATTTATCAAGTAATATCAAATTATATTAATAAACATAAAACAATTTTAAGTCCTGATAGTGCTAATGTTTTATTATGTGCCCCTTCTGGTAAGGCTGCATTTTTAATAAATGGTGTCACACTTCTTACAGCTTTCGCATTACCAATAACACAATTCGGTGGAAAAATTCAAGAATTGTCATCTAATGTTGCAAATAGTTTTCGCGAGAAAATGAACGATGTACAA